GAGTGTAATAGTGTTCCTTCCTAGCTGCCGTGCAAAGTGAAAGTTCCAAAAGATGACTTTATCTCTTCTGCACAGAAGAGAGCTTAGGAAGTTTTGCTCCTCCCGGAGGGAAGTAGTACCAGGCTTGGGGACATCCTGAATCCTGGAATGATGTTACTGTGCTTTCAAGTTACAACATCTAAGAAGCAGCTGTTCTTCATGCTCATTCTCCCACGTTGGCTGAGGTGCTGACAGGAAGCTGGCCAAGCCTGCATCGTTGTCTTGCTGCACACGCGCTGTCTAACCCAGCTGTGTGTGCTTGGGGGCCCTGCACATCCGGGGCCTTTGTGGAGCTACCTGCCAGTGCTGGGAATGCCTGTGGAGCAGCTGCTCTTCTGCCTGGGCTTCTCTCTGCCAGGAAATCCCAGGCACGTTGTCTCTAGTGCAGAAGGCTGAGGAGCATCAGGGAGGAGGGAAATGTGTCCAAGTCAACCCCAAAACGTGGTGTCCTTATTTATATGGCACATCCTGAAAATCCTTGGGAAAAATGTACTGAAAAGTGTAAAGGTCTGGGATGACTAGTCAGTAATCCTAAATACTGTACTTGCAAGTTAATATGAATGTCTGAGAAGTTGCTGTTTTCTGTGTTTGCTCTTATCCACAGACTATTGTTTCAATGTTTATTAATAGTAAATAAAGATGTGAGTATTGTTGTTTAATTTTTTTATTAAATACAGAGTCATCTCTTGGAGTGTAACAGCTTGAAAAGCACATAAGCAGGGATAGGAATGCTGACAAAACAAGGCTGTAGTCTTTTGGAGTATATTAAAAGAAAAATAAAAATTAGGAGAGGCTTTTTCTGTTATAGTAAAGTTTAGGAAGACTAAAACACAAAAAAAAAAAAAGAAAAAGGAAACTATATAGAATATGTGTCTGCCCCAGTATGTGTACTTAGGGTGTACATTTGTCAGAGAACTTGCACCTAATGCACTTAAATTTAAAAGAAATAAAACTGTGGTAGTTAATGATTTTTAGATTTTTCAGTCTGTATTTCTGACAGACTCTTCTAAAATCTCTTTTTATTTGTGATGGCTGCTTGTTTGAGTAGTGCAGAGCAGATGTTACAGAGCAGGCTGGGCCCTTGGAAATTTTCTTTGTAGTGTCCTGTATTAAAAAGAATGCAAGGAAATGAGTAATAGAAACTCTTGTTCTAACTGAAGAGCTTACTGCTCCCAGATGCTTGCATGTACCCCTCATGTCTCATGCAGTCACCGCTCCTTGCAGTATTTGGTACATCAGTTTCAAAATGAGGTGGGGATTTGTGTAACCAAGTGTATTAGAAACGGCAGAACATGGTTGCACAAACTTGGAACTGAAGTAGGGAGCCTATTTGGATCAGTGACAAGCATGAAACTTCAAGGGGTGATGGCTAAAAATAATTACAGTTACCTGATGATGAAAACAACTTTTTACAGCATGTAGACTCCTTGAGACTTAACATAAACACAGGTGTGCAGGGAGATCCCTACACAAGGTGATACAAGTGTAGGTCTTGGAAATAATCTTCTAGTGGTTAAGATTTTGCTGCTGTTGAGCAGATAATGAAGTTGTGTATTTCATGAAAACATGTAATTTTTATTAAACAGTGAGGGTGTACACAGCTAGCTGAATGTTTTGTCATGTCTTTCGTGTGCTGTTGCAGACTGGCTCCTGATCACTGGTATTCTCAAAGCATCTGAGAGGCTGTGGAACTTGTGTGAGGATGATAATGTGGTGTACTGGGCTAACCATCAGTACTGCTCCAGCAGTGCATGTTAGTTTTGTGTAAGAATTACATGCCTGTTCATAAAACAAAAATACAAGGCATTTGGGGAAAACCTGCTAGGCAAGGTTCTCTTTGTCAAATGACCTTCAAGCTGGGGCAGATCTGCAGAGGCATTTAAGTTCTGAACTCCCATCTGGGTAACAAAAACAGCCTCAAAATATGTGATGAGTTGAAAACCACATACTTTTGAGAAACTTAGCCCCATTATACAGGCCATTGAGGAGAATTGTAGTGATGCCTTTAAAGAAATATACTTAGAATGGCTTGTAGGAAATCTCTTAATAGAGCTGATACTAGAAAATAAACATCTGGTGAAAGCTTGTAGAGAAGCTGCATGTTTGTTCTTCACATCCTTTCTATCTTGCCTTTTTTTTTTTTCTTTTTTTTGGTCAAATCTTTCTATTTCAAGTTGTTACTGTTATACAGCTCCTACTATTTAGCATTAAAAACCCTAAACCCACACCCCAGGCCTTTACAGAATAGAATTTAGCTATGGATAAAAACCAGCAAAGCTTTGATTTAAAAAATTGTCACAAATTTCACAGTTTGATGTTGTATGTAGTGAGATTAAAATAATAAACCAAGAGGAATTCTACGGTATCTAAAGTAGGGCAACAGAAAAAGCTTCTAACATTTTGTATGCAGTTGAAGTGAGTAGATGAAGTAAAGGGTTGAGGGGTGGCTGGATGGGATTAGCGCAAGCCAAGTAAGGTATTAAAAGCTTGATTGACTTCTGTCATTCACATTGAGAATATACATTCCTCAGGGAACAGCCATTAGCCTACTGGCAGGGGATGTAGAAGTCACTGCTAGTTGGCTTTGCTTAGTCTGTAAACCTGTCACCCCCAGGATTAATTGGTGATTGACCATCATGTCTGGTTCTTTAGCAGATACTCAGAGCAACAAGAATGGCAGCCAGCCATGGGTGTCCCATGTAGTAAAAGCAATTGGGGATGGACCTGATGAGGGTAGCAGTGTAAAGGTTCTGAGGAAAAGCACACAATTAGGCCTGGCATTTGAGGTGGCCAAACTCTGTACAGGGTTGTGGAGTCTGCATCAAAGCAATGCCTCTTTATGGTCTTTGGGAGCACTGTTGCCAAGAATGACTTAGTGGAAGAAATACGATCCTGATGGATTTCAGTTATTCAGGTGTCCTGTGATGTGATACCATAAATCTGTAACTGTTGATACAGTCTCTCAGTTCCTCCTCTTAATTTAAATGTATGTAATAGATCACTTAGAAAATTCCCCAAATGAATAATCTCTTTACTGCAAGTAAGGAGAACAGAAAGAACATGCTTGAATGTTGAAAAACATTAATTTCAAAAAGAAAATAAGTATATCTTAGGAAAAGCCTTATGGTGTAGCTGGGGCTTTTTGCGGTATCTTTGGTAGGGTGAGGAGCTTTACAGTTTTAATTCTCCTTCATAGCTCAGTGTTCCTCCTGGTCTTGTCTTTCCTGTTTACTCCCACAGCTGGGTAGGACACATGGATGATTGTGTCCCCGCCCCCATATTGTTAAAGGGAAGGGTGACGTGTGCCTTACGGTGCCAAGGGGGCTGTGTCTCTGCCTAATGCTCATGCTGTGAGGACATAACTGCTGCCTTATCCTTCTTATGCTGCTCAGAAAAACATCTTGAGAACTGGATTTGCAATTCATGAAACACATTTGTGAAAAAAAATGGGAATATGTTGGGATTTCTCTTTTGTGAAGCAAATTTCTGTGCAAATAAGTAGTGACCTATGAGAAGAAAATGAGCAGGTGCTTATATTCTTGTGGTGTACAAGATAGACAATTGCTTTTCCAGTTCTCATTTTACAATAAAGTAGGGTTTTTTTAATCTTCAGATAAAGAGATGGATTAAATAAATCCAAAGCAGTGATTCAGGGTGCCCACAGAAACATTACCTTGCAATAAAACTAAGGTGAACTTAATATTTAACATATTCATTGTTACTATACAATAAGTTGCTTTACCCTTTTTTTGTTTTTTTAAAGTGCTGTGGATAAGCTGGAAACTAGAGAAATGTGGGAAGGCTCTTCATTGGAAGGTTAAAGTAGAAAAAAGCCTTAGCTTTAAATTACCATGCAGCAGAGAAAGTAGTGAAGCTGGTTTGGCAACTCTGGTGTAATTGGATATTATTTTGCAGCTTAATGTTAATCCAACACGTGAGAATAAATCTTTCAAGGTTCTGACAAGGGAACGTGGAAATTACACAAATGAAATGCTGTGGTGACAATTAAAACAGTCAGATTTCAGCCTTGGATCCAACATGTAATCTGTGCAAGTGTCTCACAGAAACTGTCCCCTCTTTGTACCTTTGTACTCTGTCCTAACATAGGAGGCTTAAATGATCATCAGGATGTATTTGACCATAACTTTTTACAGAAGATGGTACAATTGTTCTTTATATACTTCATCTTTTTAATGAATCTTTACCTTTCAGTTTTTTGTACGGTTACAGTAAATTGTGATCCTCGGAGTGATCAAAGATGTGGAAAAAACGGATTTGGTAGTTACTTTGTCTATTTCAATATTTGTTTCTTTAAATATTAATGAAAAAAATGCTCAGTGTATATATTAATTTCATCAACTTTTTCACTCAAATCAGGGAATTTATTTCCATGTGTCATTTGTTAGGTAAAGATCTGTATAAATGTGAGTCATATTACCATATTTTGCAACTGCCTAAATTACAGCAGAAGATGTGTGGAATATTGTATTTACTTTATTCAGAATTCTGTTGTTCACGTAATTGAATACAATGTTTCAAGATTTGCCTCTGAACTGTAAGCAGGTTTGAAGCATTTCAGCCCCAGAGAGAAATTCTGTTAAAACAGTGATTTCTGAGTTTAAAAGAACATGGCCACATCAGTCCCAGCTGCAGCTGTAACGTAAATACAGTAATAGGCTTGGTCTGAGCTCTTTCTGAAAGTGGCTGCAGTCTCTTCCCTGGAGGCTGCCCAGAGTCATTGAGAATATCTGCACCAGCAGTCAAGCATTCAGTGATGGGCCACAAAAGAGAAACATTAAATCAATTAATAAAGAGCTTACAGAAATAAGTTGCCATTATTTGGTACATCTTCTAATATGGACCTACTTCTGTAGAACTGTTACTGATAGTTTTGGGGGTGATAGTGGTAGTGTATGTTTGTTTCCTTTAAAATACATTTTTTTCTTTGCTTTTTTTCTTAGACCTTAGTAATGTTATGAATTCCACTCCAAATATAAAAGCTGTAAATGGAAAAGCTGAAAGCAGTGATAGTGGAGCAGAATCAGAAGAAGAAGGGCTTCGTGAAGAGGAAGAAAAAGAAGTGCAGGTAAATGGAAAAGGTAAGTTTTCTGGACCAGTGTGTGTCCCAGAGTTGTTCTTAGCCACCTGAGTGGCAGAAGATATCAAAGTATCGTGAATGCTTTTTCAAGGGAATTAGATGGAAATACATGTGAATGCATATGTGAAAGATGTCTGTGTTTCAGCCTAGGCTGTAAGAATTAAAACTAGTACAAATTTGATAGCTATGCTGTATGATTTTTGACTTGCATAGTAAGTTCTGTCAAAAGGTTGTCTAAATATCTATCCCCTGCATTGTTTGGGTTTTGTTGTCAGGTTTTTTTTTTTTTTGTAAGAGCTATGAATGACTACATGGCCTGTAAGAGTAGAATTGAAAATTACTTTTTTTTTCTGCAGAGACAGTAAAAAAGAACTTTCAGTGAGATTAATTTAGAGGCATTTGGATGCTGAAATAACAGCATCTAGTGAAACCCAAATGAAATAACATATTTAGAATTCTATACAGATGTCCTCCAAGGACATTCGGATTATTATTTCACTTAGAAGAGACACCTACTTCAGATTTACTTCCTTATGTTTTAAGCATCTGCTCTTTATGCTTTTTATAAAAGAACAGAACAATCCACACAAATGGGGATATAGGGGCATTTACATGTTTTGTTCTGCAGATACATTATACATACAGTCCATTAGTAAGCTAGCTGCTTGAAGAAATATGGTTGGAGATATTAGGTATAGAGCTTTCTCTTTGCAAAGTTTTCTTTTCTTTTACAGATTATAAGAATGTGAAATCCGAATCAGCAGCTGCTAAGGATTTGGAAGGTATTGTTAGTAATGGCTGTTACAAGGACAGCTTTATCCCAGATATGCAGAATGGCATCCAGACCAAATCTGCCTTGAATGGCTTGAACCCAGAGGAAGAAACAAATAAAACGGAGCCAAGCCTGGAAATAGCTCAGAATGCTGCTCACCAAGGTATTGTCCTTCCAAGACCACGTTTTCATTTGCACATGTTTTTCATGAAAAATATTCTTTTTCTGAAAGCTTAATCCTGGGATTCAGAGACTAGCAATGGTGTCTTTCAGTTGCAGAAATATGAAGACAGAATTCTAAAACAAATTAATTAGCTGCAGTTAAAAATAAGGCTTTCTTTTAGTACCTACTACAGAAAGAGAGATGAATTCAGAGAAAGAGAGGCCTAAACCCACAGAAATATAAGTGTTTTCTTGTAATATCATTATGCTACCTATGCAAATACTATTTGCCTTTGAAAGTGAATTGTTAGTACAACAAAAATCACTTACATCTGGTTTATTATTCTGAAAAGCTGAACATTTTATAAATGCCACTTTGTTGAAACTAAGTAACTTTAAGTAAAACTGCTTTATACTGAGATTAGGAAGGAGAGGGTAATGAAAAAGACAAAATTAAAATTTGCAACACAGAAATGCCAATATGAAGAATAGTTTTCCCACTAGTAAAGGTTTTCTATAATTCCTAAATTCATATAACATCTTTACTCAGAATCCAAGTTTAGAATGACAGTTGTAGATAGAAAGGTCATGAAGTGATGCTCACGCATTTTAACTTATTGCTCTAGTCTTTGCCAGGGTTGGCTCACTGGCTCACATTTATAAACCATGTGTGCTATCCCTCTTTTCCTGCAGGTGCAAGTGAAGAGAATACTGAAGAGATCTCAGCAGCTCAGCACTTAACCAGTGATTCAGACAGTGAAGTTTATTGTGACTCTATGGAGCAGCTTGGACTAGAAGAGGTAGGGGTTTGGTATTCCTGAATGTATTTTGAAGCTGGTATGCTGCTTACTTTTCAATAGGTTCGTCTCAGTCAAGTGAACATGGACATGCAGAGGTGAATGGTGTGGCTCATGCATGCTGTCCTGTTTGAACTAGAGGGCTTTGTTCCTTTCATTGCCAGCGTTTTACAACTTGGTTACTGCTAATCTAAAAGCCTTGAAGCCTTCAGAGAATTTATGTGAGGAGAAGGCTTCAAAAACAACAGTACAAAGAAACAATTGTCAAAAAAGGAAAAACAGTATAAAGAAACTAAGGTCTGTGTCTACAAATTAATATAGGGTCTTATAACATGTAGGGACCAGAATTCAGCTATTTTTAACAAATGGGAAGTATCATCGTAACAATTCACTTTTTGCTTGCCTTTTTTCTGGTCTGATGACTTCTGCATTTGTTTCTTAGAATAAATAAAGAATAAGTATTAGCAGGTGGCCTGTAGGCCAGTGCCTACAAGTGGCCTAGTCTAAAGAAGCGGGGGATTATAAGGATTTCTATGTTCTCTTGTATTCTCTTTCATCATAATGTACACCTCTGACTTACCTATAAAAGGTGTGCATCAGCTGTGCTGCCGTAGTTCTGACTGGATTTGTGCTCCTGCTGATTACTACTCTTAACTGTAATCTTTGTTGGCTTTCTGGCCTAGTCCTCTTTCAGAGGCCCAGGTTAAGTGTGGGCTTTGTAGGTTGTACTCAGAAACCTCATTTCCTGATTCAGGAGAGAAATGTGTAAATGGTGCCTGGGATCATAAAGGCCAGAAGCACTCGAATATTGCATCATTCTCTTGTCTGGCTCTTTCCTGAGTATGTAGGGAATTCATTTTAACAAATCAAAATTCTGCCCAGTAATAAAGCATGTTGGGAAATGTAATTTGATAGAAGTGCTGCAAGCTGTTTTATCTAGTTGATTTCCCAACCTTGTGTATCGTTCAAGCTTGTTTGAAATTCTTTAATTGAAGTGGGTGGATAATTTGTCAGAGTTTCCCAACCTGCATGAGGAAAGTTCCAGTTTTGCACAAAATAACAAATGTTCAGGTATATGTAAAGAAATACACAGGTAGAACTACAGGTCAATCAGTTCAAACTAGAAGAGGCTCACTTAAAGAAATAAATAAAGCTGTTCCTTGGAAAAGATGTAGACAGCACTCTGCCCTTCAGTTCTAATGATCCAGAACTGCTATTCTACAAATGTGGGCAGCAGTTTCCATTTCACTGCCCCTCCTTTTGGTTGTTGTGACTTCTCCATGAAGTTCTTTTTCGGCTGACTGAGGTGCCCAGTCTGCTTCAGTGTATCCTTGTGCAAGGGCCTGTCCTTGCCCTGTGCCAAGGGCTGCTTGAACCACCCACCAAGACAGCCCCAGGGCAGAACCTGAACAGCACCTGTGTCATGCTTTTTTACTGTCTTCCTGCAGTTTTGAGTGAGAAACTGGTAGAACACTCTGCCTTTCCTTTGTTTGGTGTGGGGTGCAGGTGCAGCCACGCTGTTCGGAGCAGGCTGATGATAAACTGCTGCTCTCTTTGCTGTGAGTGCAAAAACTGCCTGCCCAGGGCTGCTGACAGCATGGGCCTTCTGACTGTGCCTCCCAAATTCAAGGGAAGAGGCTGTTTCACTGTCCAGGAAGTAAAGACAGTTTTACAGGGGAAAATTGAATGTTTTTAGACATTAATGTTCTATTTTAGTAATTACTGAGTATTAGTGTATGTTGGAAATGTCTAAAGAAATTCCTGTGGTATCACTGTTGTGAGATTTGCCTGAAATGCCTTCTCAGTCTGGAAATAACATTTAGACAATAGTAAGTATATTCTACACGAAAACAACTGCTCCCCTTAAAAGAAGTCTTAATTCTGGGCAAAATATTTTCCTAATGTGAAAGTAAAGATGATATTTTTTTCCTTTTTAATGTTTAACTGTCATATTTTACAGAATTTAATTACTTGCTAATGTTAATTTGTAGCCCTTGGAGATCATCACATCAGCTAAAGGATCTTTAAAGCATTCATCCCATTTCTTGGATGTAGATCACAGTCCTCTGTTAGAAAATACGGATTTTCCAAGGCGCACTTGCATGACTTATGGGAATCTCCATCCTGGAAACACTGAAGAGGGAGTAGCTGAAGAACAAGGTGAAGTCAAATGTGGAGGAGAAGATGGCAAAGCCAGTAATGGAGGTCCTCACAAGGAGAAAAAAGGTGGAGAAAAAGCCGATTTCTACAGTGTCAGAAGAGGGAGAGGTACTGTGACCCTGCATTTGTGTTTCCCACTCTCCTCACTGCCATAAATTACTGGTGTTTGAGAAGCACCAGTCAGCACTGTCCAGTGGGACAGCCATGTCTGTAGTGCTTCTGCTCTTCACAATAAAAATAGATAACAAAATGCCTATTACAGCAGGTAACTTATACTCCACTGCTGCTTATGGCACTTGGGTTTTTGGAAATGTAATCCTCAAAACCACGCTGTGCCTGAGAGGAGTTTCTTTAGGAGTTACATACTTATTGTTAAGATACATTTATATTTATATCTCTGTGGTGGTTTATTTGAACCATGGAATGCCATGGAAAGTGACAGTGGATGCCAATCAGTGACATATTGTTTTGTGTGTAATTGGAATGTTAGCCACACCTTTGAGTGATTCTGATACTATCCATTATGATGCTTAAAACTTAATGGTTCTTAATCACATAATAGCCTAGATGTTCAGTTTATGTTGGACCTCTGCACTTTTTAATTCCATAATACTTCTAACAGTGTCACCTGCAAGCAGCACCAGATTCCACTGGTATGATCTCTAAAGTCAAGGATAAAATCAGTTTTTCTTGTAAAACCAAAAGGCAGAAAGTGTTTTGTTTTTATATAGCATGCCTTTTTGTATAGCACCTATAAATAATCAGATGGAAAAATTAAAAAGAAAATCCAAATAAAACACTTATGTTGAAAACTATTATAAAGAACATACTATAGTTACTATCTCCTCTTCTCTCTCATGTTGTTTTATTGAAGTTTGCTACTTACAGGCAGAAATATGACAGGCTAGTTAGTGGTAGTTGTATCTAGTTTAAGGGAGTATTGTTGATTTCAACAACAAAATTAGAGAAAATTATCTTTTCTCTTCACTGTATTCCAGTGATCTTTGTTTTCCAGCTGGAGACTTTGCCATACTTAAAACACATACTAAGACAGATCTTACTTTTTTTACTAAGGCAGAATTTACTGCTGAACTTGACTGGTTGTGTGTTAATAGCTTTTTGTAAGTGTTCTTGCAGTTCTAGGAATTTGAATGATACTGTCACACTAAGGCTATAGGGAAACATCTCAGATGACATTTCAATGACCTCGCAGTCCTGTTGAACTGTCTGAATATAGCCCGTGACGAGGAGTACCACACTCCTGGGTGAAAACTGAGGGAGAAAACTGAACTGTTAAACATTTTCAGTAGAGCTGTAGCCCATTCTGTGTTTTGTGTTTCTGTTTTTCCTCCCTCCCACCAGGGCATAGACTGCAGCCTTTAGGAGACGGGTCCCAGGGTGGCCAGATGGGCAGTGGAGGGGACGGCGAGCGCTGGGGCTCCGACAGAGGCCCCCAGGGAAGCCTCAATGAGCAGATTGCAGTGGTGCTGATGCGGCTGCAGGAGGACATGCAGAATGTCCTGCAGAGGCTGCATATGCTGGAGGCTGTTGCAGCATCACAGGTACTATTCTTTGGAGTTATTTGATCACCTTTTATTAAATGTCCTTGGATATTTTTGTGCTTTTTCAGATTAAAATTTTTAACAATATTTTCTTAAACTGTAAAGACATTTCAGTCACGTTCTGTAGTTGGGTCCAACTTAAAATTTCCTATTGGTACCTACTCTTAGCAGCCCAATTCGTAACTCTGGTACATGTAAGCAAAACCATGCATTTTTTACCAAGAAATTAACCATATGTTATTTCACTGATTTCTTATCAGACTGATCTTAGCCATAGTTATTGATACATATTACACAGGCTCTATATGGACACTCCACAGTTAATGTTATTAGTTCCCAGATTAAGAGAATTCAAAGCATTTTCAAAGAAAGTGAGAAATAATCTTTCAGATGGTAAATGTTCACAGGCAGAACTTCAGATTCAGAATGCAAAAGACTTGATTGTTCATTGCTTTCTTTCTTTGTGAAGTAATCCAGCTTTATTGGAATTGTACATCGTGTCCTCATCCAGCCAATAGAACTCTTAAGCAAGTGTAGACATTATTGATACAGTGTTTCTTTTTTCTTTCTGTTTCAATAGAACATGTTGTGAATATAGTTGAACCAGCAACCTGAAAATGTTTGGTTTTGTTTGACTTGCTGATATATTTTGATCTGCATGAAAATGAGCAAGCTGTACAAGCAATATCCTATGGGATGCATATACTCCAAATCTTAGGCAGCCACAGAAAAGGATTTATTAAAACCATCATTTTGCTGAATCACAGATATTCAAGAATCTAATGTTTGGTTAAACAGATTGGTTTTCTATCTTTGCCTGAGCAATATAAGTAGTAAAAGATCCTTCCCCTGCAGTTCGTGCTGTGCTTGCTGTCCTTACCTAAGGAGAAAGAGAAGCTTCTGTTTCATGTTGACATAAATTAAGAAAGACCTGGAAAACCAGCTGCTTTGCCTTTGTGGAAACACCACAATAGTGTATGGGAATAGTCTTGAAAAGATTCTGATACTTCCATTATCAGGATTGCCTGGAAGACATGGAACAGTCTTTCCTTTACGGTGTTAGACATGCCTGTAGCTGTAGCCCAGGCAAACTAAAACAGTGGTTCTGACCTTAGTATAGACTGGTGTTCAGACATGCAAGCAGGCAAATTAAGCTGCTGCAGTTTCTGCTCTGGGCTGGAACTGGGACTAGACCAGAGCTGAGAAAGTTGCAATGACAAGTTGAGCATGGGAGCCTTTAAAAACTGTAAAGAGGTCTAGTAAGTGACACTGATTCATTTTCTAAGACACAGAGAAGTGATAAAATTACTATAAAGAGTAGTGGAAACATGAGAGGCAAGTTAGCAGCTGTGTGGGATCACATGGGGGTGGTTCTGTGCATTAAACTGTGATATATACAGATTGCAAAGCCATCACAAAATGAAAAACCTCATATTCTTGTTTTGTGAAGAAGAAAAATTTTAATTGCAGTTTTCTTATTTTATACTTAAAAGCCTTTGTTTGTATTTAAAGGCAAAATCTGCAACACTACAGTCAAATTACCAGCCCACCTCCTCTGTCAAGGTAAAATACTGTTTTTATGATGTGTAAAAAGTGTGAACTGTGAAAAAATACTAATTTGAATATTTTGTCTATAGCTCTTGGTATGTGCTTTTTGTATTGTCTCTTCCTTGACTAGAAGATAAAAAATAATCTGTCTGAGGAAATTACTTCATAGATTAATCTTTTCTTACAGTCTTACTGTTATTTTCTTTGGTACTGTAACATTTGAAGTGATGAGAAGTATACAGGTGGTATTCAATATGTGCACACATATTGCTCACTGGATTTTTTTTTTCTGTTTTCCTTAGAAACCATCATGGTGGCCCTTTGAAATTTCTCCTGGTATTCTAGCTTTTGCTGTTGTTTGGCCATTTATTGCCCAGTGGTTGGTACATGTGTATCACCAAAGAAAGCGAAGGTAAAGATGTGCATTCAATAGAACACATACACTGTGTGTCACCTGTTTAAAGCAATAGGTAACATTATCATATTATTTAGACAGGACAGAAAATTCTTTGCCTTGAAAGTTTGTCAGTATGAGAAAGTACTGGTTAATTTGACTTCATATGTAGTATGCTTTATATGTGGCAATTTATGTTAAATCTATGAAATGTGATGCAGGATAAATAATTCTGAGCGCACACAAGTGGGTGAGGCTGGATTGTGTCTTGGGATAGGCTTGCAAGTGTCACCATAACTATTCTTTGATCCTCTCACTCCTCATATTTTCTTGAGCCAGTTTCACTGCTTCTGGACTTCCTAGTCCTTTTGTGCCATGACAATTTTTTTTCCTACGACATCCTTTGTAGAGTGCTGTCACCTATATTTAACATCTTCTAGTACCTTACTATGATATTTTTGTAACATCTACCTTGACTTCCTTCAGCTGAAGGGTAGCTGTACTCTGATCTTGCCTTTTCTCACCTCTCTAAGCATCAAAGATCAAGTGAGTGTTCTCTAGTTACTGTCTGCTTACTTCCACCTCACACCTGGTTCCGTTAGCTTAGTATGCTCTTGGCACTTACATCTTTTTCCTCTGTCAGACTGCAGAGCATTTGCGTGTGTGTATCTTAGGAGAATTAGCTGAATTTGCTCTAGCTTTTTAATGTTTGCTAGTTTTCATGGTATAGTTTTCTCCCCTGTGGTAAACCACAGAAACACAGAGTGGCTGAGGTTGAAGGAAGGCTCTGCAGGTCATCTGGTCCAACATCCTTGCTCAGCCAGGGACACAGTGTCTGGTTGCCCAGGGCTGTGTACAGGCAGCTTTTGATTGTCTCCAGGGAGGGAAACTCCACCACCTCCCTGGGCAACCTGTGTCAGTGTTTCCTCAGAAATGCTCCTGACCTTTAATCATCTTCATGGCCCTTTGCTGGACTCTCTCCAGTTTGTCCATGTCTCTCATGTAGCCAGAGGCAGACAGAACACTCCCGGTGTGGCTTCTCCAGTGCTGAATAGAGAGGAAGGATCACCTTGCTCAGCCTGAAGGGATAATGCTGATAATGTTGGAAGGGAAGCCTGTAACACCACTGGCCTTGGTTGCAAGGGCACATTGCTGGCTCATGTTCAGCGTGGTGTCCACCAGGATGCCCAGATCCTTTTCTGCCAAGCTGCCTCCCAGCTGGCACATACTGATACCTGGAGTAGTTTCTCCAAGCAGTGCTGGACTAAGCACTTCCCCCTGTTGTATTTCATAAGGTTCCTGTCAGCCCATTTTTCTAGCCAGCTGCAGTCCCTCTGGATGGCAGCACCACCCTCTGGCATATCAGCCACTCCCAGTTTTGTGTAATTTGCAGCTTTGCTGAGGGTGCACTCTGCACTCTGCCTGTCACCCAGGCTATTGCTAAAGGTGTTAAACAGGACTGGCCCCAGTATCAACCCCTGGCATTCACCACTAATTACTGGCCTCAAGTACACTCCTGTCACTGATTATCGATCTTTGGGCCCAGCCCATGGCTTTGTAAACAATACAGCACCACAGAGGCTGCAAATCTGCCAGGGAGCTCCCCTGCCTCAGAGCTGTCAGCAGCAGCATCGGTGTTGCTGCACTGTCTGATGAAACCAGAGATTGCAGGGCTGAGGCTTTCAGGCAGTTATGCACATTTTGCTCATTCTTTGCACTAGCGAATGGAAATTTCCCCTTGTCAGCAAGGAAGAAGTTGGGGTGGTTTAAATCAAAACTATTTGTTTTAAGTATTTTACTTGAAGTTTCTATGAACTTCAGTGTTCTGCTAATTGCTCTTGCACGGCTGTGTTTTCTCCCTCTCTCTGAACAGTGTGCTGTTCTTGAAAATCTTTTTTTAACATCTATTCTGACCCTCAATCCAGCAACAGATTCAGACAGAAATCAGTTTTTAGAAAAGCACCTTTCCAGCAATTTTTCTAGTAATTGTCCTAGTAATTCACTGCTTTGATGAATAAACACATGGTACATTGCTTTTAGTTTGGCTTGACCAGATTCAGTTTGCATCCATTGGATTTTCCTGTATCTTTATGCAGTTGACAAAGAGCCTGTATTTAAGGACTATGTGCTTCTGCAGCACATTTCTATCTGGAGTTCTATCTCCTTTAACAATGTGTAGGAAGCTGATCAAGTACACTCAGTGAGAAAACAGAATTACAAAATGAGTCCTTTTCTCCTGTCCCGTGGCCAGTTTCAGCTTGTGCTCTTAGGCAAGGTGTGTGAGCTCTTAGCAATAACTGTTCACAGTGCCTGCACTGACCCTGTCAGTGCACTTTTAAATTATGTGAACTGTCCCTGCAGCAGAAACCATGAGTCTCTGCTACCATGCAAAGTTCTCTTGTGCTGCAGCTGTGGAGCCTTGACTTCTAAACTCTTCTGCAGTGTAGCAAATTCCATGTAACTGGTGGAGGGACAGCCTGCTGTAACCAAGAGCTTTGTGTTTAGCTTTTGTCCAGCACCTCTTAAGCTGTCCCCTGTTCCTTTATGGGGAACTTAATGCTGAAAATCTGGGGTACTCATGCTGGAGCCTTCACCCAGAAGGCTTGAAAACCAGAATCCTAAGGGCCCTAAACACATATAGAAATATATTTTCATAAAAGTTGTCTACGTTCAGCTCATTATTTTAAAACCCTCTAATTTTAAGTTTTATGGAGTCATGGGGAAAACAGCTCTTAAGTGTTGCTCTGCTGAGCCAGCATGCCACTGACCCAGGGTCAGGGATTTTTCTGTGGAATTCCATCTGCAGCTCCAAATTCTTAGTGAATTTTCTACTCCTTGGTGTAAGAGAGCAAATTTTGTGGTGTCTTGAAGCGCTGTAGTGTTTTATTGGAATGGAAACCTTTCACGTGTAACCTTAATTGATTTGTTTGTTTAGACAAATAAAAAATCATCTCATATGTGAAGGTACATTAATCTAATCTGTTTCCTCTTCTAGAAAACTGAACTGAGAATTCATGACTATATTTAAGGACTTCTAGGAGAAGATGGCCCTGGAAAGCAAAGGAAGTCTGAATTCTCGTAGAATCTCAGAATTTGGGATGATCTTCCTTATGTTACAGTAATATTTTGTACTACCTTCGAGCTAAATGTTTAAGGACTAATATTATTGAAACTTGAATGATTCACAGCTCCTAGGTAACAAATAAATTGAATAATTCCATCCTCAACACCATATGAACAATAATTATTTTGGAATGTGCTTGTGGATGGGTCGTCAGTAATTACTGGCACTGCTGATGTCAGCTGATGAAGAGAATAACATCTCTGTAAAAGAACACATGAAAAATATGTAAAACTGTCACTTTAATATTGAAATAATTTTACAATCTCAAGATCCCTGCCTGTTTTTCCACAGCATTACATATTGCCAGGTGAAAGCTCTAAAAAAGTATAAATTCAGTACATTGTAAGCTGTTGGAAAAATACAATATAGTGCTGAGGAATTCAACTTGTTATTCTTGCTGCTAAACTAGTGTGGGGCAATTTCCATATAAATTAGTCAGAAATGAAGTTGAATCCTTCACTTATCCTGTAAAATTGTAAAGAAGATTTGGGTATTTGTATATATCCTGAAAGTTAGAGCCATTAATAACGGGGGGACTGTCAAATACAAGTTTGGAAACAGCATGTGGTACAAGGGATCCATGTAAAGAGGCTGCACCTTATCTTTTTAACTTTCATAACTGTATTCTTGTTGACAACAGCTTATTTTAACTGAAATGCATAGTTTAGGCACAAGGTGCATTAAAATGAGATGAAAACTAGCTCAGTAGGTCTAGCTTTAAGCTTTTAAAAAGCTCAGTGCACTGTAAGTTTTCTGTTGGCAGTTAAAGTAAGATTTAATGTATTGTGGATTTTCCCCAAGTCACATCATGAAACATATCAGTTCTGGTATGTCTTTCTTATCCTTCTACTTCCTCTCAGAAAAAAAAACAAAAAACAACCTTTTCAGCTAATTTTGGAGCTGATATTTTTCTTTTCCCCACAGAATATTTATTAATCCATATACAGATAGAGGTAGAACTTGTGAAGTTTGCTTGACAAAAGCATACTTTACACTTAATTTTTAAATAAATTAATATATAAGTTGTCTAAATCTCTGGAAAACGCAAATGCACTAAAATTAGATTTGACAGAAAACTTACAGTTTGCTATGAAGAATTATATCACAACATAATCCATGGTTAAGCTCTGAATCTTCAAAAATTTCACCATTATTGATGTGCGTTCATTTTCCACCAGGACTACATCCTACAAATAATTTTTAAGGAAAGTTTTTTTGGTCCTTCCTGAAAATATTTTATAGTTTGGAAAACATTTTTCATATAAGCTATACTGTATAAAAATGTAATCACAGAATTTAATGTTGGTTTTACCAGAGAAATTTTAATCTTGTTTTTTAGTTATGTGAAAATTTTTTTTAGTTATTTTCCCCTTCTTCTGATTTTCTTACTGTAAAGCTGAATTAAAAAATAAAATAGCTGTAACCTCTTTGAAGACTGCTGTAACAAGCAGATTGTTTCATGTGCCAGAGATGAGTTTTGGCATGAGATGTACTGAAAACTCAGGTTTGAACAAAGCTTATCCTGAAGTTCTGCTGGGACCTGAAGCCATTGTGCCTGAGCTTCAAATCCCTAAAGTGACTGATTTCTTATTATAAGGGATAGAAATCATACAGGAGGGACACTTGAGCTTGAAGGTCACATGAAACCCCAGCCTCCTGAAGCAGCATGTCTTCTGCAAGGACAAACCACCCTGGAGTGCCTCCCAGCTCGTGTCACCTGTAGGGGTTGAGCTCTTAGAGATGGGACAGACATTCCCAAAGGTACTTAATTATTAACCTCTCCCTGAAATAAATGTAGGCTTGTAATATCCTTGTTATTTATTCATATTTCAATAAATCAATCCCTTAATATTTTGTATTTTATCTTGAACTTAACATTTACTAAATGCTGTATACCAGATGCTGTGTATGCAAGAGCCTGCTGGCTGTATCATGAAGAAACAGTCAAAACCTGAAAGCTGTAATACAAAATAATGTCACTTGAGTAAAAATTCACTTGTCACTCAGAACTGGGCCTATCTCAAACTCACCATAAATTGAACAGATTTCTAGTTGGCAGGTATTTCAGCTTAAAGGTAAGGAAAACTGGTTGTTTTGGTTTTTTTATCCTTTGCCCAGGTACAAAGAGACACAGCTTTGCTGTGGAGGCAGTTAGCACAAGCAGGTGGCTGGAGCTCAGAGCTGGCATACATGCTTCAGCCTGTGCTCTCTGCAGGAAAGAGTTCTGCATAGCACTGGAAAGGGCCAGAGCCAGCCCCAAACTGCACTTGTGAAGAACACATCAGCCTGGTTTCCTGCAGCAAATCAGTCTTCACCTGAAAGGCAGATGTTTGCCCTGCAGTTTGCCCCATATCAAACCAGATTAGACGCTCCATCCCCTCAGAGCTGTCAGCTGAGAGCATGGAAGCAGAGCTGGGTCTAAGTGTGCACATGGTGCAGCATCCTCAGGGCTCTGCTGCTTCTGTTCTGGTGCTGAGGAGATGGAGCCACCATCCTTTCTCAACTCATGTGAGTTATGCAGAGGAGGAGACTCACACCCCACAGGAGTTACAGGCTCGCTCAGGACTTTACTCTCCCGCCATTTCAGTACACAGTGCAGCTGGTACTAAGGCTTACAGGCAGGGGCTAGCAAGTTATGAGCTAACTGAAGGGCATACAGACCTGTACTGAAAGTGATAGCTATTTCCTTGCTTCAAAATCACTGCCTTTGCTGAGGTAGTGGGAAGCACTCAGGGTTTCTTTGTGTAAAAATCCATTTGCCACACTCCCAGCAGAGGAAAAAGTAACACAATAAAGAAAAACAAGATGCAGAAGCACAACTGCACTATTTTATTTTATATATTTACACAAAAGTAAAGTGAATTTTTGAAGCATGAATTTTGAAGTAAGTGCAAAGTGAACTTTTGGAGAATGAAGTAGAGAGGAAAAGAATGCATTTTATTGCCAGAGTTAGCATGTGGCAAACCCAGTCATGCTTCAACTGGAATCTCTTAGCTCAACAACACACGGCAGCACTTCAGCACCTTGGCCCCCAGATACTGCCCCATGTGTAGGTGAGCCCAACAGCACATGAGGGCTGGGAATAACTGTCCAAAACTGCTGCTTCTGTGGAACCAAGTACGACACTGGTCTCTCCAGTAGTTTTCAGGTGGACTGTGCTAATGGCTGATAAACAGCCTCCCAAGATAACCTGGAAGCTACAGAGTTCACGTGTAGGTTATGCACATAAAGTTTAGGCCTTCAGGGAGCACCGTGTAACAGCTGGAAGACTTGGCAAATGGTATTCCACAGCTTCTAAGCATCAGGAACTTTTGCCAGCCTACACTGTTATTTGCAGATCTTTACTAATAACACTTGATCTCTTCCAGCTACTACATTATACCTTTTAACCTTCTACCTGTAGTATTTCAAGTCAAGCAACAAGTGGGACAAAACCAGTGGGACTAAGTTGACAAGGAATTCCATGTTGAACAGTAAAGCTAGGATTCACCTTTTTACAAAAGATAAAAGGTCCCACCAACCAAAACAACCCACAACAAACAAAACCACATCACAAATCGCAACAATCAACATCTGACATTCAGCTCCATGTTTGCTATAACCAGGATAAATGCAAGATCATGAATAGAACAGGATATTGCAATATTTTCAGGGCTAATTGTGTGAAATTTAAATTTCACACAGCAGTGTAGTGATAACTTTATATTAAACATTCAGATTTGTCAATTGGCCAATTTACTGTTCTACAGATTCTATGTTTTTGTATTAATCAACTGATTTTGTATTAATTCTGTGTTTTTGCATTAATCAACTAGTAGAAATGCCACAATTTTCTTTTAGGATAAGATTTTTACAGAAGCTTACATGACCCTTGGAGATGTTTAAGAACTATTTCAAGGGGTTAAAGAAGATTATACCAGTGCAACAAGTTTCTTCCACCTTGATGGGAGTGTGTTATACTGCCAAATGGGAGCAGATGTAACCATTTGTAAAGTACTGAAGACAAAGAGCTGTTGTGGTGTTCAGTATCTTATTTCTTTGACATGAAATCATAGTTAATGGAAGAATAAATTGCATAAAATACCAGTGATTAAGGCACCCTACTACCCCAGTTTATGTATTCTAACTCTACACAGGAAAACTACTAAAGAACTTCTCATCACTTTCAGATAATGTTGTCTATGAATACTGCTTCAGTAATGCATTCATTTGTTTGCACCTTTTCCATCATGTAACAATTGCAGTGTGACTGAACAATTTAGAACTTCTCTGAAACTTAGCAAATGGAGTGAGATTCACTGCATGTTTTGCAAGTTGCCAAGATTCTGTTTCACAAAATTGAGTTATCACAACAAGAGCTGGGATTGGTCATTCTGAGGTATTAAAAATCAGCCCTCTTTAGGTCTTTCTAGGAAACTTCCTTTTTCTTCACCATTCCCATTCCTTTCCCAGCAATGAAGGGACAGCAGGGAGCCTGGCACTATTTGCTCAGAATTCCATCAATAAATCTTGTCTTGCACAAAGCAGGGTAATGAAGGGACAGCTCACTACTGCTACAAAAAGAGTCAGTTCATGAAACCAAAAGGCACTTGGCAAAAATCACTGGCAAAATGCTTGGCTTCTGGCACATGGCCCTTGGCTGGTAACACCATCTAGCACAAATGATCTTTATCTAACATGTATTAACCTGAAAAATTAAAATCTTCTTTAAGTTAGAGACATATATGCAAGAAAAATACTGAAGAATATTTAAACAGAATTATCTACAAATAAAGCTCTAAAACCTAGCAGACACAAGATTTGTATTGCATTTAAAGATAATTTAAATATACTTCCCCCTAATTTAGGTTTATACAGAATATACACTTATATTCTAGTCAAAATCCAAGCTCTGGCTGTGAGTTTACAGAACAGTCTGTTAGCCTACAATGTATTACAGTCTTTAGTATTTGGCAGCTTCAGTATGAATACTACTTGTTAGAAAACAAAAAATCACCCGTCACTTGTCATCTGACACAAGGGAGCACACACACACACACACTGGGCATTTTCTATATAAAACCAGTAACTGCTAAAATGTATGTTCAGTCCAGCTTCCTACAGCCCAAGTGGTTACAACACAACAGCTTAAGCAGAGCATTTGTTCCACAGACTTGCCCCAAGTATCCTCTCCCTGCCCCATTTCTCTAGGACAGGATAATAACCAGAGGAACTCCTGCCAGTCTCACGTGCCACCTGTAGCCAAATTAACTTGGAATACCGATGTATCTTCCCATCCCTTCTTGGGAATAGGACAAACAGACGACAAGACATTGCAATGCTGCATTAAGCTTTCAATTTTCCACCTTGAATAGAAATGACCAGTTTTGCACAGTGGATCTTTATTCACACTGCTCAGACAGGACTGCTCCCAAAGCAGCTTGCCACCACACTGAGCCACCAATAGGTAAATTATTAATTAGATACAATTACAATTCCTTTATATCCTTTCCCTATTATGTTTAGCTGGGAAATAATGCAACAGTTCCTAACTGGAATAATTAATTACTATTAAAGAGCCCCATTATTGCCAAGAGTGATTAGGTCCGAGAAACACAATGCTCTGGCCCCTTAGTAAGGTGCAGTGAGATAACAAGTAGCATGAAGGCACTTGATACCAGTTTCATACAGTAGTTTCACTTTAGAATAAAGAAGGCTATAATAAAAATAGACTGGTAACTTGAAACACACTAAATTCAGCAAGGAAACTTAGTCAAGACCAAACTAGGGTTACAAGACAACCTGTAAGTGTGCAAAATCATGGAGAATGTTCACTTATCTTGATGCTATAAGCTAAATCCAGACACAGTCAGGTGCTGAGCATTGTTTCTAGCATCAAAGTAAGAGGTGTCAGTCTCATCATCTGGCTGAGGTATAAATGGCATGGTTTGATTCTGGAGATTATCCCAGTCCACCCCATGAAAGAGGGGGTGATGCTTCAGTTCTGAAACAGAAGTTCACATAAGCATTAGAAACTTCCTTTTGTCCAAGCCCCATAGTCACTTTGTTCCCTCATCTGTAACTGTCAGAAGATTTGCTCTATATTCCTTTTCTAGAAGTTCATAAAAGTGCAAATTGCAATTGGGCTTTGATTAACCCCAACTTTAGTAGGATCAAACTGTTGGCAGGACAAGTAGCTGCCACCCCCATCCAGGGAACCTGTTCCATACAATTCCACTGAGCCAAAAGCAGCTTGAAAGCTGCTCTTACCCAGAAAGACTGAATTTAGAGAAGCACAGCACTACAACAACATAACTGGGATTTCCCAGTACAAAAGGCTTCATGCTATAGTGATAAAAGGAAGAGCACAAATTTGGGAGAGGGGAGAGAAGATGACAGTGATGGAAACTTAGGTACAAGAAAAACTTAATGGTTGTCCTGAAAACTACTCATTCAACTGCACTTCAGTGGACTATAAATTGGACAAAGAGACCAGACAGAGTTGTAAATCTTGACAAAGAATGAATTTTGAAGAAGCTCAGATAGGAAGAAACCATTATGTCATCTATTTTAAAATTCTGCTCTTGACAGGAAATAAATCCAGAAATAAACACAATAACTTGAACGCAAAACACCTTCAAATTGCTTTTGGGAACTATCAAAACCACAGAATTCTCTGTTGACATAATAATCTTCATTCATAATCTCATGCCTTCTCTATTTTAATTTGGCTTGATTTCAGCTTCTAGCATTTAGTCTCTATGTGAAAGCCTCACCATAGTAAATTCCTTCTCTAGTGATTTCCTGAACAGTTCTCATAAGATTTCTTTCTCTATTTCCAAAATATCTCACTCTAAATTTCTATTATCA